CTTGCCAAAAAAATTTCAAAATGCAAAATCCTCATAGCCCCTCACCACATAAATTATGAACGCTCCCTAACCGTGTTTAAGAATTTCAATCTCATTCGTAGAAAAAGGTGTTTTTGGACGTCTTGAACTCTTCTTCTTCGACTTTACCTTCCTCATTATCTACAACACAACATATCCACTTAAGGCAACACATTAGCGTTAAAATGATAAATCAGATATACCAAAATACGTGAGTAGTATACTAATGCATTTACACTAGATGATATATATATATATATATAAATTATGATAGTATACTAGAAAATACATGCATGCTGCAGCAATCCTTCGCCCTTTCTATATCCAAACAACTAAAGACCTTCCATACATTGCTTCACTAAATCAATATGAAGTTTTTCTTAATTAGCTCACGGCTGATCAATGGTAATATTATCATATACTGTAGTTATTTTGTACAAAATGGCAAAACAACGCGAAAAGGTTAGTACTTTATTGTCGAAACATATAGTTGTATGGGTATAATTATGTTGCTAGCAAGGCATCTTCGATTGTGCCGACAAACTTTTAAATTAAATCAGTTCAAATCGTAACGATATAATTCGCTTGTAAAACTAATTTTGTTTATTACGTTTGCTAATTATAATTTCCTAATGCTAATTAGCGTGGAAATTACTCAGCCTCAGTGGACATCAGATTGCGCAATCGACTGGGCACGAGTGAACACTGGAGAAACGCAAACAGCGTCAAGAATAGTGTGCTGACTTATTGCGCACGGCTGCAAAAAAAAACAAGTCCCACTAAGCCCCTTTTTGTATACCTTAGTGGGTGAATCATCACAGCGAACATTCCGTTTTGGAGACTCCAGAAAATCAAAATCTGGAGATCTTTTCTTTGTTTGCAAGAAATTTTGGTATCTTCTCAGAGCAGTAATTACGTTCGTAACAAACATACGATGTTCAGAACACGTGTTTATACTACAGCGTAAACTGCTCAGAAAATTCCGACTGTTCACTTTGGCGAAGTCACAACGACATCCGAGACATTTAGGAATAATCTAAAATTAAAATTAAAATAATTAAAAGAATAAATCACTCATGAAGCCTGAAATAAATATGTTTAGTGCTTAACGCTAAATGTGACTGGCCGATTTTTGGTCACGTGGCTTTGGATAAATGCAATGTATCCAACCCAGCAACAAGCAAAAAATTGTTGTGCAACATTTCTTTGTGGTATAGAACCCTGTCTTGTTTTAAGACACTCTAAACAATTGAAACTGATTTTCACATCTGAGATTGAATGAAAATTGACAGCCTTGTCAACCTCACCTTCGGGCTATGTTTAAATATCAACGGCTGGGATAGTTTTCCTCCTAAAGGTGGCATGGGCACTTTCGATGTCACAGCATGCTTCACCGGAAAACCATTATTCGTCACGGCGACATCTTCGTCTGAAGATTCAGATAAGGATTCTTCAATGTCTGACAAATATTCACCTCCATCAACTAATTCTGACATTTGCAGCCTTCGTTTGGGTTGTCTACATCCGCTCATTCCCTGTTTTGATGTCGTTAAATGCGGTCGTTTGCCGGCTCTGGTATTGGTAGGAACTATGATGATAGAAATATTATTGAGCGATTCTTTGCATACAGTTGACAACATGTATCAATCTATCATTAATATAGCATAGAATTGATGGTCGCGGGACTAATTACCCAAAAGTCAGGCCTATCACGAGTACCCTGGATTCAGAGGTTTTCTGGTGTCAGGCGAGTGGAGGAGACCTCAGTGTGCAGGCTACAGCGAAATAGGTTCGCTAAAATCTCTTCACATTCATCCATGCACATTTAAGAATAGGAAAACAGGGCCTGATACTCAGGCAACTCTTCCGCCCACTTTGTTATTTATTGACATAACTACGTCAAGCGTATCGAAATACATGAGGGATAGTCAGGGATAGTTGATTTGATAGTTAAGCGATAGTTAACTATCCCCCAGCTATGAATTTATTTGCGGTGTTTCAAGAGTTGCCTGCGGAGGAGGCTGCGTCAAGCGTTCGTCTTTTGAGTTCCTAACTTGATTGCAATTTTCCCATTACTTTTGCAAATTAGCCATTCCGAAGTTGATAAGTGAACTGGGGACGAGTGTTAAAAAATTCTCAAATTAAGAAATGAACCTAGTCACTAAAAGACCACCTCAAAATTAGTAAGTATACAAAGTTTGAAGACGTTTACATGAATACCCTTCGAATAATAAGTTTTCGAAAATTGTGAAATTACTGATTAAAAGATTGTTTTTGGGACGCGCGTCTCCAAAAACAAAAATTACAGTACATTTCATAGTAAATATCGCGATTTTCAAAAGCTTATTATTCGAAGGGTATTCATGTAAATGTCTTCAAATTTTGTATACTTACTAATTTTGAGGTGGTCTTTTTAGTTTCATTTCTTCATTTGGGCACTTTTTAACACTCGTCCCCAGTCCTCTCATCCACTTCGGAATGACTAATTTGACTGAAAACGTCCCTCCAATATTCCTAAAGCAGAGCAAAGAAACTTCCCTTTGAATTTTACTAACTTCCATTTTAAATTTCCTACTTCCTGTTCCGTGCGTTGTCATTGGCGGATTATTAGAGACCTTACGATTTTAGGACGGCAACGGCCAAAACAAACTCCTTCAAATAAATAGTAGTAAAAATAGTTCGTGGTATATTATCAATCGTATGAATTTAATACAGTTTTAGAAGTTGAAGACATGGGTTTTATGGTTGGGAAGAGTTCTGCTAAACCCAGTTTGAAGTTGCCCTTGTTGCGGCTTGGAATGCAGCCGTTGTATCAAGACGTGAAAATCTGTGATTTGGCGTTGTAAACAGAGCGAGGACAATGTCTAAATTATTCATATATTGTAATTACCCAATTCTTTTCAATGATCTATTGTATTGGTAGCCGTTGCCGTCGCGTTGCCGTCCTAAAATCGTAAGGTCTCTATTTTTGTTAGCCAATCACAACGCGTAGAACAGAACAGGATGTGAGGAACTTCTAACTGGTTTTTAGAAACATTGCAAATTGCCTTAAGGGATGGCAAAGTGCTTCAAATTTGCAAACGTAATAAGGAAAATTACAATCAATTGAGGAACTCAAAAGAGGAACGCGTAGTTTATCTGTAACAACTAATGAAGGGCCTGTATAAAAAATGTTGTTTATTTCAAAGTTCATAAAAACCTAAATACTGTAATAAACTATAACACTTCGACGTTTTTTTACCATAAACAAGCTATGGAACAACAGGAAAATCGTCAACATTTGACAAAGCGAAACATTAAAAGCTCATAATTATTAATTTCAATTAGTGTCAATTGTAAATATAACCGCGACGGCAAATTAAACTTACTCAGATTCAGTTTCATTAGTGGCTTTTCCCCCTCGTTACAACGACTACATTTATACAGCGGTTGAGCGTATACAGAACAGCCATGCAGAAACCAGGAGACGACCAAAAATTGTATTTATAATTATAAAATAGTTCCCATGTCCTTTGTAGTTCAAGCTGTTCGTTTCTTATCATATAGGATTATAGGGGGCTATAAAATATTTTATCTGAGACTGACTAAAATTGCTGAATTGTTCATTTAGAATGCAAAATAAACTGTGAGTAATGCCCTATTAAAGTTAGTATAATGTACATTTTTGTTGATTTGGTGTTAAGAAAGCATCGGTACATTACATGGCTGTTCACATGCATAGGGGTAATATAATTAAATTAGTTTAATTAACATTTTCCTCAGGTAAAATAATGGATTACCAATAATGGAACAGAAATTCTTTGAAATTCTACTGCATGTGCATAAATGTAAACGTGCATTGCCATGCTAAAAAATCATGGCAATGCACGTTTACATTTATGTACATGCAGTAGAATTTCTATATAGCTTACTCACTTGTCTTCTGGTTGTTAGGAGTGTCTCCATAACGTATGTTCCCAGCTTCTTTACTCTTGCTAACACCGTCACTAGTTTTCGGACAATTTTTTGAAAAATCTTCGATTGCATTTCCAGTAGCATTCTGTTGGGCGGATATTTGGGTGGGGTTAGCAAGAGAATTGGTTTGGTCATGGTAACTATTGGAAATTATGCACGGTCTTTCTGTCACATCTTCTACCATTCTACAACCCTCACTTCTATTATTTGTACCACATACTTCTTTTTTGGATGTTTGATCACACAAATCGAAATCAGAGACAAGATCTGGTATATGCCTTTGTTGATATTTTTGTTGTTCATGATCTTGGAACTTCATTGATCTTGGATCCTCAATTGATCTTGGAACTTCATTATATTGGACTTGACAATGTTGATCTTCATCTCTATTTACATCGATTACATTGCAATTATTGTCCACAGAGTTGTTATTGCATAAACTATTTTTGGACTTATTGCTGAATGATTTCGTATATTCTCTGTCACACAAGGTATCATCAACATTCTGTGAACATGCGATGCTGTTTCTCTCACAAGAAATATCGTTACCTTTGACTGTAATTACACCCTCACTAATATGGTGTATATTAGCACAGTCTTTCAACTGCATCGCTTGAGTCCCGCCAACTGACATGCTGTCGTTATCCTTGACAATGTTCGTGTTTTCGTCACTTTCGGGGTTGATATTTTTATCTGAAACACTCGCAAAAGAATCATTAGCATTGTTGGTAGCTCTTTTATTAGATGATATTTCAGGCTCATAGTGAATACTGCCAATGCTGGTCTTCTTTGTTCTACTAACGCTTACTTTGGTCGTAGAGTTGTTTACATTTCCAGTCTGCTTAACTATGGTATTGTTGCCTTGACCAATGTTGTTATGCTCCATATAGTTTGTTATATTGTCTCTAACAATCTCACTGCAACCCTTGTTCTTCACTGCGATCCCTCTTCCTTCGTTGGATAAAATTTTACCACCACTGACACATTCACCATCAGCCATGTTCCTGCTTCGCACAACATCTGTGTTTCTTCGATTATTTTCAATAACGCTACTGGCTTGACCACGGGATGTAAAAGCACAGGTATCGCTCACTGTGTTATTATTCTCGATTCCATCTTTATTAACACTTGAAGTTATATCTCGTGAATCGCTTCTAGTATTCATCATATCCATCAAACGTTTAATAAGATTGTTTGTGACTGATTGTTGAAAGTATTCCTATGGGAATTTATCATATGATTAATAAAACAGTCGGCCTTGAACAGGCTGACAATTTGATAAATCAATCCAATCGCCAAATGCATGTTTATGCCCGTTGCCATCAACTTTACTTTTATCGATAATTGACATGCCTAGTTACGACTGTTATGATAATGCAAGGAAATGCAAGGTGAAATGTAGAAAATAGTTAATTTAAATAGTTAATTTAAAGACTTTAAATGAACTATTTAAATTATACATCCTAATTAATTGGTAGATCTGTTGCGGTATATTCTAGATCTTATATGGTTGGAGCTAGCATTCCAAAGTCATCTCTCTCCGAACTATGGGTTATGGTTTTTAATTGATAGTATGTGGGGTTGAAAATTAGTAACACCCTACCAGATGGGCCTAGATCCGTCCCTATACTGGATATGTTAAATATTGTAGGCTCGCATCACCTCTTTAGTCGTAAAAATTTGTTTTAAACAACGAACTTCTTTCGTGAGATCTTCTATTCTATTAGCAACATCACTTTGTTCCCCCGAAACGTTACTTTTAGTTTCCATGATATCATCACTGTCATTATAACAGATCCTGTTCTCCGTAGTGATTTTACGTAGTTCACCTTCAGCTTGAATTGAACTTCGCTTATTCTCTGAAAAATAACAAAATTACAATTGTAAAAGTGTGCCTAACCTCATTTTCCATCGTTCCGTCTAAAAAGATCAGTTAAGACAGAACTGATGAAACTATCAAGCTTAAATACAGTTATTTTAGTTTATACAGTAGCTTACTTTCGAGCAGTTGTACTTCGCACATATAAGTGATGCTCTTCCAATTGTAAAAAAGTTAAATATTATTTAAGCAGACGAAGTAACTCTTATTTTATGTTTTCCCTACTTACAGGCAATATAAGGTATAATCGTGGATATACTGTATAGCATTTGCCAGACAGGATGACTTGCTGGTTAGCACATGTAGAAATAACGTTCGTCATTAAAACGTGTCGTTGTTTGTTGTATTATTATATTACGGATTCCATGTCCAATTAATTAACCATCAATGGTTCCAACTTTATTTTACGAATACTACATAGTATATAGACCTAGCAGCGGTGTAAGAGCCGACATGGATGAATCACAAGACGCTTTTTAACAGCACTGCTAAAGCATCTCAATCAACTTTGCCTCTTCTTGGAAAGTACGATGCAAATAACTGAAGTCAGGCGGATCTTTGGCCAAAGTTACTACAACGTTTTGAACGCTATAGTGTAGTTGCACGATGATCAGAAGTGAGATCCTTATTTTGCCAGAATGGATGGCCACCATACAGGCATACATGACTATCAACCCATCATGCGACCATACCGGGAAAACAGAAGTCATTCCACAAAATCATTTCACACGATGCCCACCTTGTGCTTCCAAGAGCAATGAGGCAAACAATTCTTGATCACATTCACAATGGTCACCTTCGAATAACGAAATGTGGTCTAGAACTCGTACATCAGTGTGGTTCCTGGACTATCAAAACAAATAGAAAACCTTGTCCCCCAGTGTACCACCTGTGCTAATGAGTTACCTTGCCAAAGGATTGGCACTGATTTACATGATTTGGCGGGAGAAATACATAATCGTGGTGGACACGAGGCGATTCTGCGCGAAACTGCGGTTACTGCGCGATGAAACAATTAGAAAATGCACTATTGAAGCCCTCAAAGAGATATTTGCCCATCCCCAGTATTCCTGACCAGGTAATATCAGAAAATGCTCAACAGTACGGTCGCGTGTTTACTGCCGCATGGTCAAACATGTGACAAGCTCCCACAAATATCCACAAGGAAACGGCAAGGTGAGCGGGCTATCAAAACAGCGAAATGACTTCTTAGAAAAAGTATATATTACTACAATACCCCCTAGGCCTCTAACGTCAACTTGCTTCCTACACATCTTGTGTGAGGCTTGTAATTTTTTATACAGTTAAAATTTATAACAAATATAGAACTTTAACGATATACAATACTGGAGAAATACATCATGCACTATATAAAAAACAATAGGAATGCATACGTAATTATTCGTATTTAGTTTTACAATCTCATACCTTGGATCTTCTGTGCTTGAAGAGCTAGGTCATCACGTAATAGATCTGAGGTTAATACTTTGTCCATAAATTCCGGAATTATTGATTCTATAATACAAGACAGCGATGAAAGAAGAAATTAATGCCTAAATAAAGCCAATTCAAAACCTAGTTCTCATACAGTTTGACGTCATTAGTGATATGCCAGATTTTTATGCACCAATGAAAGTGTGTACAATAAAAACTACTGATCCACATAAAAAACTACTAGACCTTAAACCTCCAGCTTGAAATTTAGGCCATTAAACCGTTACATTTCAGAACCTCTTTTTCGCTAACTTCTTTTATTTAGCTCAATGTAAAGTAATTTCTAAGGACTGTTACAAGCTGCTACGGTACATACCATACTGCGTGTATGCCTAAAACCATATTCTCTTAATGTTTTGTACTTATAATGAGGATATCACCAGTAAACATATTCCAGTTAAATGAGTTAATGATTATGCTGAACCAATCTCTAATTACATCTCAAAGAGCGAAAAGATAGTTGTCTACTTTCTAGTGTCTACTTTTAACACTGAAATTTCAGATGAAATAAAGGAGATCACAGTCATCCATCACAAACCCCCCTCCCCATTTATCTGTCTATATCTATCTCTATATGACTTGGTCATTTTTGCCCCAACCACTACTGTATAATGCACGTTGCATTAAAAATAGGCGCCAATACTTACTGGTTTGCTCTAAATATGTGTGTAAAACACAGGTAGCTGACTTTTGTAATTCTTCACAATTCTATAGTTAATTCAATAAGCCAAAAAATGTTTAAACCCCAATACTACAATTTAATAATTAGAATGATGCAATAATATGGAAGCAAACATGTATGATAATTTGACGTGCATGACAATACAAACAATCAGCCAGGTTGCGGCACTCTTACTGGTTGAGAAGAATAAATGCTATTTAATTAATTTTACGTTTCACTATCGCAATTAGGCACTGCGTTACTATGCAGTACCTGATTTTCAGCCAACAGCTTTACCACAATAGACATTCCTTCACTGGAGAAAAATTGCTTGCAACTTGACTCTGAAATTAATCGAGGAAAAACACGATGATTCCGAAATAATACCACATCGCGACCTTTTGCATCACCGTGCACAAGTTGGCTAACAATGAACAAGAAGATAGAACAAAGCCTTTCGCAGAGTCTCCTGACCATTTCAGTGGCAGCTAAATTACTTTGATTTTGAGTAAACGTAGAAGTAGTTACTTTAAAACGACTTGAGTAAAAGGTTCTGCGGGCAAAACGTACTTGAGTAAAAAGTTCTAATGTCTGTAGCTTGAAAACTGTGTGGTTTTAGGAGGAGGTATTTTAATACTCAATCAACAATAGTCACAGAACACATCTGCCCTCGCCTGCACCTGCCTAAACTGGGTAGTGGGTAAACTACAGCTGACATTCTAGTAATGTTCTCAATTTGCCGATATTGAAGTATGGATTTAAACAATTGTTACATTGGCATTTTGTTTTTCCAAGTTTACATACGCTACATAATATTTTATATACACATAAAACAAATATAATCCTATCGGGTATAATTGATGGAAAATAACGTAAATACTCACCACTGAATTCGAACCGTACCTTGACTGACTATATGCTTGAAATAATTTAGTGATTTTAAGTTTTTATTCCCTAACATCCCCCAACCTACCCTGGCCCAGAGGTTTTTACGCGAAATGCGAGAAAACGCGCGAAGAAAAAGGAAAAACCTCTGGTGAATTTGTTGGCGATTCCTGGTTCGGATAAAGAATGCAAAAAATGTATAATTGCTTAATGCATCATATTCTAAAAATATTATCCAATCATTATCCTTGACGCCAGGCCGTCTAGACAGGGTTTTATCGCATGTTTACTGTCTAGTGTATGCCTGCCCATTTGTAGCAATTTTCATTCTCCTAAATTTCATTCAATTTAAAACATCACATCTATTCAATTTAATATAAATATATATTTATATTCATTCACTTTAATCTTGCAATATACATTCAATTTAATCCTGCAATATACATTAAAAAAAATCTGTATTTTATAAATTTATTAAACACACCTCTTTGGGCCGACGTGAACTTTGTCTGTTAATACAAAAGCAAGCAAATTTGTCTTGTAGATTTCAAATGAAACGATTGAAATC